CGTTGGACACAATTATTGGCACCCCTAGAAATTCTTATGAATAACATATCTGTGAAGTATATTCCCATTCATATTTACAATTTTGAGCATACCAGGGTGATTATGAATATGAAATTATCCAGCCATGGCTTCCTGTTTCACAGGAATATAAATAGGAGGGAAAACAAAGGCCAAACTCTTTGGATTTGAGACTTTAGTCTTTGCAACTTTACAGATCTTCTTTATACACCAAGAGCTTGTAACACTCCAAAGAGAAAGGAAAAATTGAAATCGCATCATATGACCCCTTTAAAATATGAAAATCCCACAAAAAAATTATATTGATCTAAATATTGTGAAATAATTGAAAAGCATTTAATGATTTTAATAGTTTTTTTTATTTAATACTGTGTTTAACGTATGTTTTTTAAACCATTTTAATATTTATTGTGTAATTTATTTATTGTTATTTTATTTTTTAATTTTTTTTAGTTATTATTAATATTTATTTATTTTTTATTTTATTTGTGTGTGTGTGTGTGTGTGTGTGTGTGTGTGTGTGTGGTGTCAGTTGTTTTTTGTTTTCACTCCTCTGTAACCCCTTTTTCTTTTCACCTGAAATTTTCTTGAAAAATGTTACCATGTTTAATTGGTTTACCCTTAGCTAAGAACTAGACTTTCATTCTTAAAATATGAAAATCCCTCAAAAACATACAAACATGCTGTATAATTACTTGTTGAAAAATGAAAAATAAAAAGCAGAACAGTGAAAAATGTTTAGTTAATGTTGTGTTTAAAATGTTAAACAATTATAATATAATTATTACATTATATTATTAAATTATACATTTGTTTATCAATAAATTTATTTATTTATTAATCTATTAATATTTTTATGTTGTCATTTCCATCACACTGGACAAAGGCATGGGCTCTAATGAACTGGGTAAATAATTTTAATGACACTGTACTTTTTACCAATTTCTTGAACTTCAGACAATTTTAAAAACTATATTAGAATTTTTTACCATGCTTTATTGTTTTACGCTTGTCAAATACCCAGACTTTTACTCTTAAAGGGGTCATATGATGCTGCTAAAAATAACATTATTTTGTGTATTTGGTGTAATGAAATGTGTTTATACGGTTTAAGGTTCAAAAAACGTGTCAGTTACATCACATTGACTGCTATCAGACCCAGAACATAATTTAAGTGGTGGAAATGACTCTATGGTGGGAAAGGAAAGATGACAGAATTCACTGGTGATGTATGTATATGTATGTTATACTTCAGAAACATTTCCACATTAAAGGATGTTAGATAGAGATTCCAAGTGAAGAAAAAAGTTTTTAAGCACCCCTGCAACCAGGAGAGAGACACGAGTAAGGATCTGAGAGAAACAAGTGATTCTGAGTGTAGTTCAGAGAAATAATTCATGGAATATTGTTCATTAAATTGGGTGAGCAGATCGCAAGAGTGCAATATCTGTTGTCTTTTTCACATTTTGAGAGCAGAATAAAAAGAACAAGTTGCAACACAGCACTTGGTAAGACTAAAAGAGCTTTTACAACAGAAGTTATGATATCAGTGTCACATTAAAGATACAAAGTGTTAAAATATTGTATGGATGGAAAAAAAATACACAGAAAATTTATATCCCAGGCCATCAAAGTGATTATTTGTTGTGCAACATCTGTATTATTTTAGCCGTGTCAGAATCTGTCTTTGGCCACCTCTAAAATAGGTATCAATCACAATCTGATCAAGTGCTATCCGATTGTGAGCCGATCTCCAGAAACAATTTCAGGTGTGAATGGGACCATAAGAGTAAGATCTTATGTCCATTCTTGTACTGAACTCTGAACCTTGTTTGTTTCTGTGTTAAAGCTGATCTGCAGTGCTTGGGGTGATCTGTCATTTAGCCAATGGCAGCTACTGTGTGTGTATGTGTGAGAGAGATGAGGGTGAATAGGGGGAGATAAAGGAGAGGATCATGTAGATCCAGCTCCCCGCTGAGACACCAATCCCTCTTTATGGCTCGTAAAGACGCCTCCTCACGGCTGAGCCCGACGTGCACACATGCGCACGAACCCACACGCGACTTCCTATACGCCTGAGGAACGGGAGGGAATGAGAGGGAGAAACTAGCTGGGAGAATAACCTGATTTTCACTCGCCGTTCCAGAACTCGTCGTCAGTATATCTTCTCACCTCATTTCCCTGATCGACTGAAATCCCCCACACACACGTACGGGAGAAAGAGAGAGAGGGAAACTGCATGATGAGATAGCTGGTATCAGGGGCCCTGAGGTGAGCAGAATGAGAGTTTGTCCTTTTTATTGGCTGTAATTAGGATGAGGTCATTACCATGCGCCAAAGGCCTTTCACTGCTGGGAGATCATAAAATGCCACCTGAGCGATGTATATTCCACTCCCAGAATCCTCTGCAGCGTTCCACACATTCAAGAGATGAGGGGATAAGAGAGGACCTTAAATGTATGTGTGTGCACAATCTCGTTCATAATTAATGGCAGTGCACAACAGTAAATTATCTTCTCTTAGATAGCCCCTGAGATTATGAGGTCTTTTTTTAAGCGTGATGTGTGTTTGTATTTGTATAGTTTGATCAAGTGCAAATTAAAGAAAGTGTCCTTGTTTATTGGAGTTTGTTTTGCCATGTTCATAGAATAGAACAGAATCAAGTAGAATAGAATATTTATCTGCGTAACCTGATCAAGTGGTAGGGTAAAGTATCTAAATGGGATTTGTGCCTGTGTTTACACTGTAGCTCCAAGATTTACGTCATTCATATAGTAAAACAAATATTACAGGAGGCTATAAAATGGCAAAAGTAATTAAACAAACAGATCATTTGTATGTCCTAAATAATCTATGTACATTACCATTCAAATGTTTGGAGTTGGTAAGACTTTTTTTGTTCAAATAACGGTAAACAGTAATATTGTGAAATATTATTTCAATTTAAAATGACTATATATATATATATATATATAATTTATTTCTGTGAGGCAAAGCTGAATTTTCAGCATCATTACTCCAATCTCACATGAATTTTCAA